CTCCAGTCCTAGAACAGAGAGGGACAGATATACCTAACCATAGTAGCAGAAAAGTCTAGTGCAGACCTCTGCAACTGTCCTCGACAAAGAGTAAACCACAAGTGTGACATCCTGGAAGTTATTTTAAGACCCCAAAGATGCTAGGGTGGTGGTCCCTGGCATCTTCGTAGATGTCTGGCCCCTACAGGGGCATGTGGGTGGGCCCAGAGGGAGGGCACTGCAAGAACAACGCAAATAGCACCAGACCTGGGTCTTCAGGAGAGCGAGTTTCCCTGGCTCCAGAGCTGTGGTGTGGCCCCCACCCAGCAGGAGGGTCTGCAGGCTCATGGCACACGGAGTGCACACGTGGCCCTTCCCCAGGGCCGTGGTGATTCTCACCCTCCCAACAGTCTGGAGCCCTGCACTGCGGGATATCCTGGAACATCACACAGGCCTCTGTGCCAGTGTCCCCGCTAATGACACCAGATGGCAGAGAAGTGGCCAGCACCCTGGGTACTTGTGGGACACATGCACTGGAATGAGGATCCCCTCTGAGCAGGGTCAACATGGCTGCACCCTGCGACCTTCACTACAAAGAATGCACAGCATGCGAAGGCAGCAGTGGCCATGAAGCAGGAGCTCCACACTTGGGGCTGATGCAGCCCAACACTGGGGACACCAAAGGGCAACTCTGACTGGGGCACCCAAACAGGAGCAGCCTGCACACAAGTGTCCCCAGTGACCTGACCCTATAGACGGACACTCCAATGGGTCAACCTGGGTTCAAAACCAGCCTCAGCAACTAGGTTTATGGCCAAGTGACTGTGGAAGGCCCTGCAGACAGCCCAGATGCAGAGCAAGGCTGACCCTGGAGGAGAGGCAATGCCTGGCCATAGGACACTCGTGACAGTGTGCTTGGACTGACCATGGCACCAGCTCTTTTGGATCTGCCCTCTGTAAGTTTGGATGGTCCAGGGATGGTCATTACGGGCGGAGAGGGTGCGCCTGGGAGCGCAGAACACAGTGCGCAGTGGTGCAGCCTGCATGGACCTGCCACGTGGCACCAGTACCCCTGCACCTCTGCTTGGCCCTGGGCTCAGGCAGTGGCCGGACAGGGGTTCCTATGGCCAGCTGACTTAGGGAGAGTCAGGACCAGCATGCGGGTAGTGGCCATCTGCCAAGTAGAATAGTGGATAAGTGGCCTGTCTGGCTGTTCAGGGGACTGGTCAGAGAAAGATGGAGCTGTCAGGATGAGGGGGTTGGGGAGAGCTATGCAGATGGCCTAACACACAGATGTGGACTTTTTGTTTTTGATACTAGGGACTGAACTCAGAGGTACTTATCTAACCACTGAGCCACACTCCAGCCCCCTTTTTATATTTTACTTGGAGATGGGGTCTTGCTGAGTTGCTTAGGGCCTTGCTAAGCTACTGAGGCTGGCTTTGAACTCGTGATCCTCCTGCCTCAGCCTCCCAAGCCCCTGGGATTATAGATATGTGCCACTGCACCTGGCCCTTTTTATTTTTTATTTAGTGACAGGACCTCACTAAGTTGCTGAGGCTGACCTCGAACTTGCAATCCTCCTGCTTCAGATTTCAGTTGCTGGGATTACAGGTGTGGCCACTGTGTCTGGCTAGATATGGACAATTTAAATTCCTTTTAACACCCACCAGAATACACCACCATGCAGGAGGCTTTGGATAACCAGGTAGAGATAATAGCCTAGCAGGTGACACAGCCAGCCAGCCATCAGTCTCTGTGCTGGCACAGTGACCACACGACCATGCTGTGAGAGGACAGAGGCCATGCACCCACTGGACAGTGAGGGTGCCTCAGGGTGAGAAGGTACTGGTCACTGCAGGAGAGGTGTGACTGTCCCCACAGAGCAGGTCTGTGTTCCCAGCATGCCCCTTCTTTCCATCCACCTGGGCTGGGGTCCAGCTGGCCACCCAAAGGCTTCCATCAGCATCTCCCTGCCGTAGCGGGCACCCTGGTCATTCTGCACTGTCCTGTGCACGTGAAGGTGTTGAGCACATCCCTGGCCCCACTGACTCCCTCCCTCACCCAGTCATAGGAACCAGTGTCTCCAGACATTGTTCCAAGCTCCTGGGGACATAGTGACTGCCTGCTGAGAATGTGGGGCTCACAGAGACCTCAGTCTCCAGAACCCCTGCATCAAGACACACTCTACAGGAGTTAGTGTGGGGGAGTGGTGGCAGGGCACTTCCAGAAGCTTCCAGCCCCACAGGCCAAAGGCCAAGGAAGGCCAGTTCTGCTGGGATGAAGCCTGGCTGTGTGCGGGACCTGGGTGTGTGTCCTTCAGGACCTGGGCAGAGGCCCCAGAGTGTGCTGTGTTGCCTGCCGACCCCAGCCTCAGCTCCCACCGAGAGACTGGCAGAACCCCTGACTCCCTGGTTCATAGCTAAACTCCCTGCTGACCTGGAGAGAGGCCATCTGCAGAGGAGAGGGATGGCAGGTGGGTACCTTAGGACCAGCTGTGGCAGAACTCTGGGTCAGGTGAGAAAGCACTGGGCAGAACCCAGGTCACCGGAGGAGGGCTCCTTTCCCATCCGTGCAATGTTGATGCTGGCCCAAGAGAGAACTTGCCAGGCTCCCGCTGCGCCCACGCTTGGGGACCGCGGTGGGGTGAGGGACGGGGGAGCGGGCCTGTCGCGGTCACAGGGCTTCAGGAAGCAGCTGTCCAGGCGGTGGCCCGGCCTGAACAGTCCCTCAGCGCCGCCTCCCGGCCGCGCGCCTTGCGACCCGGGCGAGGTCGGGAGTCTGCGGGCGGGAGGCGCGCGCCAGCCCCGGGGCCGCCCCTGGAGGCCGGTAGGGGCGCCCAGGAGCAAGCCCGCCGGGCCCACGTCCCCGCACTTCCGCGTGGAGCCCGCTGCGCCCCTCGCCCCGCCCAGCCCCGCCCACCCCTTTCTGCCCGATTCGCACCCTTGCCCAACTCCCTGCTCCCGTTTCGGGCCGGGTCACCCCCTGTGGCCCCAGCTCCTTCTGCTGGGAACAACCCCCCTGTTCACAGGTGAGAAAGCTGAGGCTTTGGTGTCGTTCCAGCCTCAGCAGGAGAGGAGGAGCTGGTCACTCAGCAGTGCCAGCTTGGGGGCAGATGGGGGGGTCTGGGGCGTGTCCCCAGGGGCAAGGACAGCTGACCTTTGCCCACCTCACCTCTTCCCTCCGCCCTGAGACAGGTGCGGGAGCCCCGCGGTGGCCAGTGTCCCAGCAACTACCCATCCCCAGGCCTTTCAGGACACCTATGGCACCACCCACAGGAGAGAGACATGCCCTGTACCCTACACTGCCCTGGGCTGCTGAGCCGGAACACAGTGCCACCTAGAGGACCTTCTGGATTTCAGGGGACAGAAGGCTGCAGTTCTGGGGCTATGCCACTGAGATCTGGCCTGGCTTCACATGCCACCCCACCTGGGGGACCTGGCAGGAAGCTGGGCTTGCTAGACCCCCACATGCTGTTGTGCACAGGTGCCCGCCCCCCGCCATATCCCGACCTCTTGAGGTACCCCAGGGCCAGGAGCTTCCTTCTAGCTCCCCTGGCCTCCCACCAGCTGCAGACAGCTGCCAGCCGTCACACACATCTGAACCCCCAGGCACCTCCAGTGCAGACCTGCCTTTTCCAACAACCTCCCTCATCTGTGCCACCCTTGGGGGGGGTCCTGGTTGTCTCCTGACTGCAGGCTCCATCCTTCCACTTGAGATCCAGTGGCCATTTGGTCCCCCAGAGACTCAGCCACATCCTGGCCCACTCCCTGCCTCTTGCTCCTTCCCACTATCACTGTGCCCTCTCCATGCTCTGCCCACCCTAGAAGCCCCAGAGGGTCTCCCCAGCTGCTTCCCTGCTGGCCAAGGCCACTGGGCCTGAATACTATAGTTGTCTCTGGACAGTCCTCTTAGCTCCCAGGGAGACAGCTGTGTCAGCTTACTGGCCACCTCTGCCCCCATTCAGGCTCCCTACCCACTTGGACCAGGCAGCCTGCGCAGGGAGATGGAGAGGAGAGAGCCAGTGTGGCAAGTGGGACGGGTGGACAGACCTGGAAGAAATCAGAGTGACAAGTCGGCCTGTGCGTGGAGGTGTGGCCAGTGGTTCTGTCAGGTCAAGGCAGGGGAAGGAGGACACAGCAGGAAGGGTCACCCCTTCCCACCATCTCACATGGATGAGGAGAGCAGCAGGAGGGCACCAGGAAGCCAGGGGGCTGGGGCTGGCGGACCCCTGGGGACCCGAGCCTCCCTCCTGGAGGGACACAGTGGAGGATCTGTCCTCTGTCTCTATGTTGAGCAGGGCAGGTGCAGGGCGAGTGGGGAGGGGGGCATCCCAGTGGGGCTGCAGGAGGCCACAGCCTCTCCACCCCACAGCTGCCTTTCTTCTGAGACTTTCTTCATTCTCAGATGAGGACCTGACCCTGGGGTTGGTAGGACTCTTCTTCTTCAAAGCAACACACAAAGTCGGTCCTTCCCCACCTGAGGCCCCTTCCTCCCTGCATGCTCTGGACACCACTGACTGGCAGGTCACAGGCCGCACTGCTGCCAGACAGCTTTTTCTTCTAGAAACAAAACACCTGAGGTTATCAACTTAAAAAGAGCAAAGGTTTGTTTGGGTTGTGAAAGTTCCCATCCTTGACTGGTTAGCTGCCTTGCTTGGGCCTATGGTGAGGCAGAGTGTCATGGTGGGAGCTGAAAGCACACAGAAGGGATGGGGTCCCAACAGCCCTGTAGAGGATGCTCCCGACCTCCCAAGAGCACCACTGGCTGGGGAACAAGCCTTCCACACAGGGGACACTTCTGAGCCCCAGCAGCCCCAGGTTGAGGGCCTGAGGCAGCAGTGCAGGCAGGGCCCTCCCCACAGAGCCCTGCTGGGGAAGGCCTGCGGGCACCCGACATGCTGCCCTGCTGTGCCCTCTGCAGGCCCAGGCAGTCCTGCTTGTCGCTGCTGGGGCAGGACAGGCGCAAACCGGGCAGTGCTCAAGGTCCACGGGGTCAGCAAGATGAGCCCACGCGTGCTGTTTCCAACTACTTTCAATGGTCAATTTTATTATAAAGAATGGTATCAAAATATACAAATCTGCTCAAGAACAATCGAGAAGTGCAGCTTTTAAAGGGCCAGGTGAGCGTCCCGTTCCAAGGACAAGCTCCTCCTCCGCCATCCACAGGGCCTTTCCCACAGGACGCCACTCTCAATAATTTAAAGGGTGGGACTGACTTTGACCCGGACGCTGTCACAGATCCTCACGTGAGGGCGGCTGTGGCTGTGCTGGGTTTTCTTCCGGGACTTCTGTCAGGAGGCGACAGGGACCACTGACCAAAGGCCCATGGGAAGGCCTCACATCTTCACTGGGGCACACGGGGCACGCGGAGCTCACGTCCCAACACACCCTGGCCCATGCCCTGGCTCCCCCTGGACCTGCAGCCTTCCAGGGCAGCCCAGGAGGAAGGCACTGCGCCTAGCACCTACAGCCGGGGTGCCCAGGCAGGCAGTGGGCTGCACAGAGGCCTAAGGCGCAGACTGGAGCGCCTGGGAAATGGGGCAGCAGAGGGCTCTGGGGCCTGGCCTCCAGCCCGGCCTCACTGCTCAGGCCAAGCTCTCTCCTCTCTGGCTCCTGCACAGGCAGGGCCTATGGATGGGCTTCTGGATCTTACCTTCCTGCTTCTGCAAAACTCTTGCTGTAATCTCCCTGAACACTGCCCGCTCCCTCTCCACATTCTAGAACTTTACAAGACCCCCCCCAAGGCTGAACTGTGCCTCCCAGAGATGCTCAAGTCCCACCCTGCACCTGCAAGTGTGGTCTTGTTTGGAAATAGGGTATCTGCAGATGACCTTCAAGATCAGGTCGCTGGGGTGGGCCTGGGGCCAATGGGACCGGTGGACTCCTCACAGAAACCACAGTTCAGAAAGTTGGACACCCATACACGGACAACCATGTAAAGATGGGCCTGGACAGACCCTCCCTCACAGGCTCAGAAAGAGCAGGCCCCGCCACACCCTGACCTCGGGCTCCAGAACACAGAGAGTACCCTTCTGTTGCTGAAGCCCCAGAAAACTGACCCAGACCCTCAGTGGGACCATCTTGCTCTCCGACCCTCCACCTCTCCTTCCCTGCAGCGACCTGCCGACCTGGCCTCACCTTGGACCCCACTGTCCAGCCTGAACACTACTCCTCCACTAGGTGCTGTCCACTGCCCCAGCTTGTCTGTGTCCTGTGGAGCTGGTGCCCGGCGTGAGCTGCCGAGGTTGCCCACAGCTGCCTCCCAGGAACCTGTCACCCCAAGACTGCTCTCCTGTTTGTTCCTACAGGCAGCACCTGGGAGCCAAGGCCGCCCCACTCACCACCCTGTGCCGTCTGCACACAAGCGTCTTCCGTTTCTTCGAAGCCTTCAGGACACACGCAGACGAAGCTCCCCGGGGTGTTGTAGCAGTTCTCGTTTTTCCTCTTACATGCTTTTTCTGCTAGTGAGCATTCGTCCACATCTGAAATAAAAACGTCCAGTTTCCATAAATCACTTCTTTTAGCAAATACACACCAGAGACCATGAAATCCACCCCGGGAGGTCCAGGGGTTGCGTGTCAGAGACAGGAGTGACGGAGATCAGGAGAGGCTTCAAGGGAGAGGCCAGGCCCCTGACTGCAGGAAACAAGAGACACCAGGCAGTGTGTAGGCAGGAAGCCTGGGACACCCCCGTGAGTGGCCTAGAGCCAAGGGCTGAGCACCCCCAGCCTCAGCACTCACGGCTACAACTGGCCACCATCCCCCGTCCCCACCCAGGAAAGGTGGAGGACCTGTCTGCAGGAAAAGGAGAGCAATTTCCCATCCACTGGGGTGATGGTTCCTTAGGGCTCACAGTGGTCCCTGGGGAGGTCCCATCTTCGGCAGAAACAAGCTCACTGACCTGCACACTGTCCATCCTCTTTCGAGTAGCCAGAGACACACTCTTTACACTTTGCTGGGCCTTTTCCCGTGCAGCCCACACAGGTGGAGTCACACTCTAGAAACGAGGAGGGAAGGGACGTCAGACCACCTTCCACGCCAGTGCAGGGCCTGAGCCACACTGATGAGGGTCAGAGGCGCCCACAGGAATTCAGGTTTTTCCCTCATCAACCACTGGAGTGACTTTGTAATGACCACCTGTGACCGTCAAACTCTCAAAGAGCCGAGAGAAAGCACTCCGGGCAGGAGAAGCACGGAATACAACAGTCCTTCCCAAGTCTCTTGCTGAAGTGGAAACAGGACTTGAACTTTTCCCAAAGTCACCTCAAGATGGGTGACAGAAATTTGTCCGTCCAGGAGGAGCCTGGGAAAATCTCTGGGGACTACAAGGTCTCCAGTGTGACCTCCTGGTCAGGACCCGGCTGCAACAGCAGAGCTGCAGACATGGGGGTCTGCGGGGACCATGAAGCGGCATGACCTTCTTGGGGACGGAATGACCCTTCACATACATCCCCCTGGCAGGGCAATTTGAAAACTGATCCCAGACAACAGTCAATGTTAAAAGCTTGACCTACAACGGCAGCCCAAGTACGTAAGGGTGAGAAACACACCAGACGGTTCAAGGGAGTGTGGAGAAGGCCGTGCCCCCAGCCCCTCGTGTGACGCACGAGTTGGCAGCATGCTGCCGAGGGAGGAGGACCAAGGCCTGTGGCAGAGCCAGAGGTGACCGGTGGACCTGAGGTCCAAGAGCCCCCCAGCCCAGAGAGGACGATGTGCCCACGCCAGACCTTCACACGTGTAGGAGCCATTGACGTTCTCACAGTACTGCGTCTCACTGCAGGGAGGCGTCTCAGCCGCACACTCATCCACATCTGGAACGGAAGAGCAAGGCTGCCTGGGTGGACACCAGTCCCCACAGCCACCATCCTGAGACCTCCAAGGGCAGGGGTGGGGACGAGGTGGCAGCCTGTCATGCTGGGCACTTGGCACCAGGTGGACGGGCTGCAGTGGGACCCATGACAAACCTCTGGTACTCGGGCACCTGGGTCCTCCCCCAGGGTGAAACCTGTGGGGCCACGCCCCCAATGTGCCTAAGGCTGAGCAGCTGCTGAGAGGAAAGAGCAAAACCAATGCCCGCAGACGGGGAGGGCACCACCAGGCACCTGGCTGCAGCAAGGCCAGGCTGGTGCCCGCTCTCCAGGATGCTACAAAGTGGTTACAGTAGAGGGGGTAACACAAAAGAGGACTGGAGCAGGTGGTGGCCACAGGCAGGCAGGAAACAAGCGGACAACGGTGTGTCGGCCAGGACAGAGCCTCCCAGCACCCTGACGCAGAGCACAGAGCAGGCCTGCATTGGGGCAGTGCCCCAAGGTGGGATCTGGGTCACCTCCCCTGCTGGGCAAGAAGCCAGAGCCGCTGTGAGTCAGGGTGGTAGAAGGTCACAGGCAGCTGGTGGCTGGACGCAGCTCTCCAGGGGAGGTGGGTGCTTCAGTTTCTCTGGGCCTGCACACCAGGACAGAGGGCCCCCCACAGGACAGGCACAGTGGGGTGTCGGCCCAGGGAGGCCCCCAACCCTGCCTGAGATGGAAGGTGAGCTCTTGGTACAGTCAGCCACCCAGGGGGCAGCTTGGACCAGCAGCTCCCAGCCACCCTGGGCCACTGGCAACAAGGACACTGTGGCAGGGACAGTCCTTCCTAAAACTGTCACACATCAGCCTCTACCCAGGCCATGAAAACACCAGATCACCTTCTCACCAAGCAGAACAGGGCAGAGACACAGCAGTGGATGAGAGCCCGCTACGACCCTCATGCCCCTGTGGGGTCCCCTGGCCCTCCTCACCCAGGCAGGTGTCGTCCACGCGCGCCCAGCCCTCTTCACACTCAAGGCAGTCTCTGTTGGTCGGGCCCGAGCATGTCTTGCAGGACTCGTCACAGGCTGGAAGGCAAAGCAGCTGCGTCAGAAACGCCCTGTAATCTCTACCCTCCTTTCAGAAAGAGGACCTCGAGTTCAACAGCGGGATCGGAAGGAAGGAGAACAAAAGTTCCAGGCAAGCAAGAGTGGGTCAGCAGGGGGATCTGCTCGTGTGGTTCCGGTGTTTACAGACTTCGGGAGGAAAGCAGACTGCAGGCTCCGGGGGCCTTCAGGACTCCGGGGGGTTTTCAGGCCTGGAGAGGACAGCCACCCGAACTCCGGAGCCCACGGGCTGGGTGGGTACACCCCCAACACTGAGAGAGGAAGACAAGTGCAGGGCTCCGAGGCCTGGCCTCACCCGTCCCCGAGAGGCACCCTGAGCAGAAGTCCAGGAACAGCTCCCCTGGGCCAGGGCGCTGATGGGGAGAGCTGTGCTGCGGGAGGGACGGCGCCTTTGCACCCAGTACTGTGCGTGTGAGCCAAGGCCGCACTGCCCTGTGTGACCCGACGGGCAGCTCTGGAGGCTCCCTCAAGGGAGGACCCCTGGGGAAGCCTGCCCAGCCCTGGAGCTGTGGCCAAGCCAGGGTTAGCAGGACCCATCCGCAGGAAGGGAGCTGCACAGGGACCAGGCAGGGGTCAGGCACCCGAGTGGCCTCCAAGAGTCCTTCTAGTTCCTGTGCAGCCAACTCCTGCAAGGCTCAGCGTGTCTGCCCCCTCCACATCGCTGTCTTGAGTGGCCATGAGCACATCCCGTGTGCCACACTAAGTGCCAAGCCCAAGAACCAAGGGCACCTACCACAGGGGTGACAACCTGCCACTCAACGAGAGACTTGGAGTCCTTCCCAGAATGGCTCACAGCAGGCATGAGTAGCTTTTCCTTCTGGGGGCTGTTCAGTGGTGTTTCTCTGGTACTGGGGATTGAACCCAGGGTGCTTTACCATTGAGCCCCAGCCCCAGCTCTTTTGTGACAGGGTGTCACTAAGTTGCTCAGGGCCTTGCTAAGCTGCTGAGGCTGGCTTTGAACTTGTGATCTTCCTGCCTGAGCTTACCAAACTGCTGGGATTACAGAGGTGCACCCCTGGCCTGGCTCAGGGCCGTTTCTTTTTTTCTTTTGAATTTCTTTTAGTTGTTGATGGATGTGATAACTTTATTTATTTATTTATTTTTATGGGGGGGGTGCTGAGGATCAAACCCAGTGCCTCACACATGCTAGGTAATTGCTCACCACTGAGCCACATTCCCCAGCCCGATTTTGTGTTTTCTTTAGAGACAGGGTCTCGCTGAGTTGCTTAGCACTTTGCTTTTGCTGAGGCTGGTTTTGAACTCATGATCCTCCTGCCTCAGCCTCCAAAGCGGCTGGGATTATAGGCATGCTGCACTGCACTTGGCTTAAGGGTCTCTCTTAAGGGTCACATCTTCAGGTCTCCTAAGCTCCCCTGGACACCTGGGGCCAAGGAGTCCCTGGCTGCCCCTGTTGCCACCTCCACAGCTCCCGCAGAGGGCTTCCCACAGCCTCACTGTCAGGTGGGCTGGGCAGCACACTGGCACTGGGCCTACCTGTGCAGATGCTGTGGGTCTCATTCCTCAGTGAGCTGAAGTAGCTGCTCACACAGTCCTTGCAGAGCGGTCCCTGGTATCCGATGTGGCACTGACAGGACCCATCCCCCTGTCTGCTGCCATCTCCGTTGCAGTGGCCATTTCCGCTGCAGGGCCTCTTAGAGCCCCCCTGGCATGCTGGGGTGGGGGAATGACAAAAATCCATGCTCAGCACACACCCAGGGGCAGCTAGTGGGAAAACTCCAGGACACCCCTCAAGTTACTTTTAACCAAAGAGTGTTTGGATTTCTCACTAAAATCCAAGCCCTGCACATTCCTGCTAATAGATAAGCCTGCAAGTTTGCTTATGGCACCTGGAGACACCAGCCTCCAGGGGCTGACAGGGCTGATGCTGGATTACCTGCACAGGAACAAGCCACATCTCCTGGTTTCATTACAAAGCATGACTTTGGGAAGATTCAAGGTTGCCTGTGCATAGGTGGCGGGACCCCCAGGAGGCATGTGCGTCCAGCACGCAGCCAGGGAAAGTGGGAGAGATGGGTGGAAGTGGCTGTAGCACTGGAGGCAGGGTGTGAACATGAACTGCCACCTAACCCAGCCTGACTAACATGACTGGCTTCTATAACCCAACAGTAAGTTGCAGCTCCAATTTCAACGAGTGCTTCACATCAGGGCCAGTGGACAACCCAGCCACAGTCCTCTGCAGTGTGGGGGCTGCTGAGTCTGTGATCCTTGCACCAAAAGAGCACTGGAACTGACTCAGAGTTCTGCAGTCCGAGGGAGAACTTCTCTGAAGCTAAGCAGAGATGCTGCTCCCCCAGGGCAGGTGTTGGAGGGTCCCTGCTGCACACAGGAGGCAGGGTCCCACACACCAGCTAATGCAGCTAAAGCAGCCCAGGACCCCTGTGGCCTTTTAAACACTTGGGAACCAGAAAGAAACTAGAGGAATGATGTAGACTTGAAATCTCCCCAAGAACATACCACTGCAGTCTGGCCCATAGGTGCCTGGAGAACAGCACACTTTCAGTGTCTGCACACAGAACCACTCGAACAGGTCAGGGTACTTCTTCTTCCTAATGGTTTGAAAATGTCCATTGAATGCAGCATCAAAGAACACTTGCTTCCCTTATCCTGTGGGAGATGTTTCAAGGGGCAAGTGGACATGTGGACCCTGGAGTACCAAGCCCTCTAAATGTGTTTTTTACCTACAGATGCAAACCTATGACGAGGTTCAATTTGTAATCAGACACAGTGAAAGATTAGCAATAACAATAATTTTAAAAATACTGTTACAAGAACTTAGTAAAATATATGAATCGCTCTTTTCTGGGTTTTCCTTGTAATATTTTCAGACTGCTACTGAGTATGGGAAGAGACCCAGAGGGCAGGGGGCATTGTACAGGGCACTGTATGAGCTCCTGAGGCTCCTCTGGGGGACAAGAGTTAGGTGTGCATAGGAATTTCTAGCTAGCTTCCTGGCTGTGAGAGTCATACTCTGGTAGCATATGACTAAAACAGGAGACAGGGACAGTGGGGATATAGGAGCACCATTGCCTCAGCAACTTCTGGGTATGTCTGGTGACTGCACAGGTGCCACCAGGCCACACACTCACAGCTGCAGCCACCAGGCCTCCAGGCGCTCCTCCTGTTGCTCCACCATCTGGTTGCACTCAAAGTCGCTGCTCTCACACAGGCCTTCCAAGATCTCCAGGAGCCGGATCTCACTGAAACACAAACACCATCAGCATCAGGGGGCACTGGCTTGCTCACTCAGACAAGTCCTGAGCCCTAACTGTGGCCAGGCTGGGACCACAGCCCCTCTAGTGAAGCAGACCTCAAACCAACACATGGATAGAGCACAGCAGCCCATACCCTGGGGTGGTCAGGGAGGGCGGGCAGGTACCAGGCTCTGGGCAGAGGGGGAAGGGGATTTATCCCACCTGTCAGGGATAAAGAACACTTCTTCCCTTATCCTGTGGGAGACGTTCCAAGGGGCAAGTGGACACGTGAACCCTGGAGTACCAAGCCCTCTAAACGTGTTTTTTACCTACAGATGCAAACCTATGATGAGGTTCAATTTGTAAATCAGGCAGGAGCATTCCAGGAGGCTGGTGTTCGGTTAACATTTTCAAAAGGTCATCCCCTGTATGCAAGGAGAATGGACCACAGGGGACAGGGGGCGGGGTTGAAGCAGCCAGGCCGGTGAGGGGCCATCACATTAGATCCAGGCCGGAGGCAGAGGAGACCAAGGACAGATGATGGCATCTAAGGGATCCTTCTGTGTATCTGTCCTCATCTCAGGTTCCAAAGGCAGACCCTGGGCTTTCAAGATAGGGCCCTCCAACAACCCTGGTGGTGCTTGGGAGCCAACCTGAATTCGTATTTGGACAGCGTCTTCTCTTCCCAGGCTGTGTTGCCGCCACCGAAGTTCTTCTTAGCCGTGTTGGCCATCCCCTGAGGAGGTGGACGGGCTAGACTACTCTGCATCTGGGACGCCCCCCCCCAAGGGGGCACTCCCCACCACGACCCAAACCTTGCGGTCCCCCGTGACACTGATTCGCACAGCCGGGACCTCGCGTCCATAGCTTTGCAGTCTCCGCGACCCTGCCCCATTCCCAGGACTCCCACTGCCCCGGCCCCACCGCCCCAGGATCCCTATCGGGGTCCCTGCTGCTCGCGCCCCGAAGCCCCGGCCCACCTGGTTGAACTTGTCCACCAGTGCCCGGCACTGCTGGCAGGGCGTCAGCTTCCGAGCTGCGTCCGGAGCGGGAGGCAGCAGCAGCAGCAGCAGAAACCCAAGCGCGGTGCGGGGCGGTGGACGCATGGCGGGCGGGCGACAGGCGGCAAACCGCGGCCGAGCGCTGGGCCTCCGCCCACCCGGCCAGCGTGCCGGCCGTTCCCGGGGCTACTTGACGGCGCCGCCGAGGCCCCGCCCATCCCGAAGCCCGCACACCTCCATTGGCCGGCTGGATCTGTCCCAGCCTGATGTGGCCCAATCCGGGCTCGCCACGAGCGGTGACCAATGGGAAGGCCCCGGGTCAGCTACCAGCGGGAGGGGGCGGGGCCGCGAAATCGGAAGCGGTACTCGCGCCCCGCCCCTCTCGTGCTGCCGGTGGAGACCATCTTTACTCTGGGCAGTCGCTGTGGCGCTCCGCTGTGGCGGCAGTCGGAGACACGGCGGCCATGTTAGATTCGGGAAAGGGCCTTGCCTCCGCTGTTTCCGCCGCCCGGCTTCCGGCTGAGGGCAGTCCAGGCCGTCAAGCTCCGAGGGACGGTGCGGGCGGTGAGAAGAGGTCAGTGCGCGCCACCGAGGCTGGGAACTCGGGGAGAGTGAAGGAGACTGCTAGCCTGCGTTGGTCGCAGCGTTCCTCGGGCGTTCCTGCGCGTGACAGCCGCCAATTCTACGTGAGGCCCGGGTCTCTCACCTGGGGGCGGCCCTCACCTGGGGACTGGACATTCACTTGGGAGTTGACCTCTAGCAGAGACGGCTGGGACGCTGTGTCAGGGTCCCTGCCAAGCTGCACGCCCCGCGCAGCTGCCCGTGGCGTGCGTGTCGGTGCTTCCGGTGTCCCTGTTCCCCGGGCAGCGGGAAGGGAGGGCGTCCCCTCTGCCGCCGGGAAGTTAGGCCCAGCTCGTCCCCACTGCAGACGTAGCCCGCCGGAGGCTTTGAGCCACTGTCTTCCTCAGCCGAGCTGTTTGAGTGCCCGCTCCTGGTGCTGTGTCGGAGGGCCTGCCGGGCCGCGCACGCAGGGAGCCCCAGGCACGGAGAGCTCCTCCTCGGACGGCCAGCCTCTGTTTTTGATTGTGGTGTGACCCTGGTTGGGAAAAACAGCAAAAAACCCCTGGCCTCTGGTAGTTTAAAAGAGGGGGACAACTGTGGACAGTGGTTCTAACTGGCCTTGAGATCTCTTTGGTACTGAAATGGTGTGTGTGCATGTGCAGTGCTGGTGATTAAATCAGGAGCACTCCCTCTCCGACTACACCTCCAGCCCTTTTTAAAATTTTTATTTGGGGACAGAATCTCATGGAGTCACCTGGTGTGGCCTTGAAATTGGAATCTTCGTGCAGGTGTGGCCATTCGTATCCAGCTTGGTACCAAATTTTTGTATTTTTTCTGTACCATTTTGGTTTTTCTAAAACCACTGAAGTCTCTTTCTGCTTTTTCCCCACTCCCCACCACATGGTCTCTGCTCCTTCTGATCTGTAGACGCCCCCTCTGCTTTCTCTGGAGCGCACCAACTTCTTAACTATCGAATCAAGCAGTGGTGTTGATAAATGGTAAGTCCCATGGCATGTCTCCCTTTGCTTCTGGCTTTTCTGGTTTTCACTGGATAAAATCAAACCTTCTTTAAATAACCCAGAAACATGAAGAAGCATTTTCCCTTCCTCTTCCTAGGTCTTCCAGGGGTGCAACTGGGTGGTCTCATGGATTCTCAGCAGCTCCATGTCATAGGTCCCTGAAGCCATCTTTAGGACTGGATGACTGCTGGCAGGCAGTGTCAATGGCACACGTTCAGGGCCATGGCCAATGTGGTGCCACCTGGGGAAAGCCTGTGTTGCTCCAGGCCCCCGGGAAGTTCAGAGCACAGCAGGGTGGACATCCATAGTCCCATCCCACTGTTCTGGGGGGGGGGGTGGAGCTTTGTAGCACCCTGAACCCCATGTCCCCAGCAGCTGTGCTGTGTCCAGCCTGCTGCACCCCTGTGGTTGTTCCTTTCTCGTCTTTGGGATGTGGGCCTCCCCCAGCCCCTACCCTGCTAGCGCCTGTCTGTCTCCCCTGGCTGGTTCACCTGATTCCCAGGGCAGACTGCAGGTTCTGCAGTAGGCCTCCCAACAGCGCTAGAAGCATGTTGGGACAGAGAGCTTCTTATGCAGGATTCTCCTTTAAGTTCCAGATTTCACAGCCTTCCTGCCCCCCCCCCCCCCCTCCAGATCTCACAAATGTGACCTCAGGCATGGTTTCTGAAGCTCCAGGGTCTGCTTGTCCTTTCAGAATGTGCAGGGTAGGCTGCTGACAGTTTGTTATCTGTCCCAGGCACGTGAAGTCTAAAGCCCCACATGGCTGGAAAGAGGTCGCTCAGCCGGCGGCCTCTGCTGCTGCTGGGGCTGCTGGTTGCAGTCGCGGCCGTCCACCTCTTCACCTGTCCCTACACCAAGGTGGAGGAGAGCTTCAACCTGCAGGCCACACACGACCTGCTGTACCATCGACTGGACATGGACAAGGTGAGGCTGCTAGTGCCTTTGGGGAGGACCTTAGTGTGCTCCCTGCCTGACCGCTGTGCCAACTGCCCCCTCTCTTGCAGTATGACCACCATGAATTTCCCGGTGTTGTCCCCAGGACGTTCCTCGGGCCTCTGCTGATGGCGGCAGTCTCCAGCCCCCTGGTCTATGTGCTTTCACTGTTGGAAGTGTCCAGGTTTTATTCCCAGCTGACAGGTGAGGGTGGACTGTGATAGCAGCACATGGTCTCTGTGGGGCTGGTTGCTTCTCATTTGGGAATGTCCTCCTTACATCTCCAAATGTCAAAAGCTCTCGGTTGCTTTTATTTTTACTTTTTAAAATTTTATTTTTTGCTTCTGGGGATTGAACCCAGGGGTGGGGTGCTTTACCACGGAGCTACATCTCAGTCCTTAGTTTTCAGTTTGCAACAAGGTCTTACTGAGTTGCTGAGGCTGGCCTCAAACTTGGGGTCCTTCTGCCTCAGCCCCCTGAGCCGCTGGGATCATAGGGGTGTGCCTGTACCTGACTGCTCTCAGAGGTCCCTTTGGGCTGAGGCTCAGAGCATGGCCTTGCAGACAGACCAGGGATGGGTGGGCATGCTCTGTGCCTCCACAGGGCCAGTGTGGGAGGGCAGGTGCCTGTGAGGCCCTGGGCTCCCTCCTCAGTGGGAGAGCCTGCAATGCAAAGAGTCCTTGCTGCAGGACAGTGGGCCTGCTTTGGGGAGTAGGCAGACAGCCTCACGTTGTTGGGGGCCACTGCGCTGGCCTATGTACAGGTCTCCGGGACTTCCCTGTGTCCGTGAGATGTGTGGTGACACGGATGCGTGTGCTGATGTTTGGGGCATAGCACACACAGGCAGTGTGCAGTGGCCACGTCTGGGCAGTCAGCATTTCTGGCTCCTGGGCCAAGGCCGTTTCTGTGGGAAAGCCTGAGGCTCTCCTTGTTCTCAGTTTCCTGTAAGCTGCTAGCAGTCACCTTTTGGTGCCACATGTTCCGTGGAGCACCAGAGTGTGTTGCTGCTAGCTGCACTTTGTTGCCTGTGTTTTTTCCCCAAACTAGACTGAGAACCTTCTGTATACATTGTTCCACCACAAGATTCTTTTTTTTTTTTTAAATAATTTATTTATTTATTTGAGAGAGAGAGAGAATTGTTTTAATATTTATTTTTTAGTTTTTGGCGGATACAACATCTTTGTTGGTATGTGGTGCTGAGGATCGAACCCGGGCCGCACACATGCCAGGCGAGCGCGCTACTGCTTGAGCCACATCCCCAGCCCTAATATATTTATTTTTATGTGGTGCTGAGGATCAAACCCAGTGCCTCACGCTTTTGAGGCAAGCGCTCTGCCACTGAGCCACAACCCAGGCCCAATGCCTGATTCTTTTTAGGCAATGATCATCATTTTTCCTCTTCAGTAAGTTTTTATCACATCTAATACAGATCATACTTAAGTTTTCCCAACTCACTCAGACGTGTTATTCTCACAGCCCATTTATGCAGCCTGCATGGAGACCTTTTAAAGTGCAGCTCTGCTTCTTGGAAGGACTGATCAGGACGTGGAGGTTGACCACCACATGGGCAGCTAGCTAGTTATGCCTGCTGTGCAGAAGTCTTGGGGCAGGGGCAGGTGGGGAGGGTTGGGCCACAGTCTGCGGAGGAAATCTGCACTTCCAGGTTGGGGTGCACTTTCCCCAGAGGCCTCTGTATCCTGGGCAGTGGAGAGACGCCTGGGCACCGAGCAAGGCCTGGCTGCCCTCTGCCTGGCTGCCATCTTCCTTCCTGACGGCACTAAGGCAGTCTGGAGAATGACTCCTCAGAGGATGACAGTAATGTCCCCTGGGACTGGGGCTGTATCATAAACTGTCACAGTCTGCCAGCCCTGTCTTGGGCACTCAGGGATGGTTAGACACCCAGGAAGAGAGACGGCAGAGTAACCCCAGGTACAGGTGAAGGGCCTCAGACACAGACTCAAAGGAAATAAAAGGAACTTCACAGAGTACCACGTGGAAGCCGCCAGTGGCATCTCAGTGCTAGAACGGCAGCTGGACTTGCCTCCTCGTGGACATCAGTTCCAAATAGCCGGAAGCATGCAAGGGAAGTGCCGGGCGCCGGGGCAGGCCCACCCCACAGACAACAGCTCGGCCTCTCGAGTCTGTAGCACCAGCCCCCTGAGGCTGCCCATGTCACCTGGCCTGTGATCCTCACAAGGGCACTTTGCAGTCCTGGCCTCCAGAAGGCCATTTCTTCCCAGCTTCAGTCTCTGGCAGTAGCCATGAGGTCTGTCTACTCCAAGAACATTCGGTATCTGGTAGCCCTGTCCTGGGCACCTCCACAAGCCCGCCAGCTCCCATTAGCATCCTGCCCATGGCCACTGTTCCGTTCCTGGGCCCCTGGCCAGCTCGCAGGGCCCAGGGCAGAACTAGGGCCAGGCAGTGCAGTTCCCAGCGGAAGTGCCAAGGACAGGGCACAGGTCTCTAATTCTGGGATCAGAGATGACCCCTCAGGGTTGCTTTCCTGTCCCCTGACACCTGGAAGGACTGGGTGCTTCACTGTCCCCTTCAGTCATGGACATTGCTGTCTGTCTGTCTGTCTAGTCAGAGGAGTCCTCGGGCTCAGCGTGATTTTGGGACTCTGGGCATTACAAAAAGAAGTGAGACGACAGTTTGGGGCCACGGTGGCCACCATGTTCTGCTGGGTGACGGCTACACAGTTCCACTTGATGTTTTACTGCTCGCGGACGCTCCCTAATGTGCTGGCCCTGGCTGTGGGTATGTAGTCACAGGCTCTGCCGGAAGACCCTGCCCTGAGCTGAGCTCCTCAGAAGCACCACCTGTCATCCGAAGCCAGGCCCCTCTGTTCTCAGGGCTGGGTTCGGATGCACCTGCTGCATGGCGGTTGTGACTCACAACACGATGAGCCTCCCTCGCTGCGTGGGTGTGTTCTGAACTGGGTGGGACTGTGACAGGTGCCCATGTCTTGCAGTCCTGCCGGCCCTCACGGCCTGGCTACAGCACCGGTGGACCCTCTTCATCTGGCTCTCGGCCTTTGCGACCATCGTCTTCCGGGCTGAGCTGTGCCTACTGCTGGGTCTCATGCTGCTGCTGGCGCTGTACCACAGAAGGGTCTCTGTGGCCAGACTGCTGCAGCACGCCGTCCCCGCGGGCGCACTCTGTCTGGGTAGGTTGGCCTTGCAGGCTGGTTTCAGGTGGATTTTGTTTTATTTCACAAGGACGGAAATTTGGGTTTTAAGAAATGTTAAACAGAGTTACCTTGACTTTAGAGTCCTCAAGGGTCTTAGTCCAGCTTCCCGCAGGCTGTTCTCTGTGGTGACTCCATGTTTGCTCTCTGCTGCTGCCTGGGATCCTCTGCCTGCCCCTCTGTCCTGGGAGCTGCCCAGATGGGTGGAAGGCCTTGGGTGGGGAGGGGCAGCTCATCTGCAGCTCTGGGAAGCTCTTGTTGGGGAAGTGGTGTCCCCGGCATGGTCAGAAGCTTTCCTGTGAAGCAGACGGTGGTGTCTGTGGCCAGCAGGCCACTCTGCAGGGGCTGACTGCCCCTGGGGAGGACTCCAGGGCTTGCGTGTGACAGGTGGCCATGCTCCTCACTGGGAAACTTTGTTTCTACCAGGACTGACGGTCACTGTGGACTCCTGTTTCTGGCGCTACCTTGTGTGGCCGGAAGGAAAGGTGCTCTGGTACAACACTGTCCTGAACAAAAGTTCCAACTGGGGCGTATCCTGTGTGCCTCTGCAGGCAGGGTGGGGTGTTGAGGACTGTCCTCCCTGGCTCCCTGTACCCACCCTGGGAGCACCCACCTCCCTATGGTGTATCCCTGGCCTCCCTGAGTCCTGGTGATGACCCACCCTAGAGAAGTGCTGACTGTGGAGGGTCCCAGACACACGTGGGTGGTTGTGGCTCCCCAGTGCCCACGGCACCTATGTGCTCTGTTGTTAAAGTGAGGACAGGGGCAAGAGGAGGGACCCCCTCAGCTGTGCCTGGGGTCCCTCTGCTGTTTCTGAGGTGCAGGCTGAGCCCTGGCCGTTCCCGAGATGTTGGCCCTGATGGGTCCCATGAGGGTCCCAACCATGTTTAGCAGGCTGTGTAAATAGGAGGCCGGTGAGCCTCGACCCTCCTGCCCAGCTGGGGTTCCGCTAAGTGGACATGGCCCTCTCACCCATGCTTCCTTAACCGTGGCCGGAAGACCTCCCCACTGCTGTGGTACTTCTACTCGGCCCTGCCCCGGGGCCTGGGCTGCAGCCTTCTCTTCGTGCCCCTGGGCGTGATGGACAGGCGGGCACGGGTGCTGGCTCTGCCGGCGCTGGGCTTCGTGGCGTCCTACTCCCTGCTTCCGCACAAGGAGCTGCGCTTCATCATCTACACCTTCCCAGTGCTCAACGTGGTGGCCGCCAGAGGCTGCGCCTACCTGTGAGTCCCGTCCTCCTGCTGCTGTCTCCCTTGCCTGTCCCTGTGGTGCTGGCATGAAGCCAGACCCGTACTACTGCACTGCTGCTTGGCTGGTGTCTTTGAAGATTCGCAGGAGAGCTTGCTCCCTGGTGGGCACTGACAGAGGGGACATGTTGTGAAGCCTGGGGGCTGGGTGCGAAGGCCCCCAGCACTGCACCCTGCTGGCTGGTCCCTGTCCATAGCTGTGCTTTGCTGCCTGCCCTGGGGCTGGCCCATGCGGTGAGGGCACCTGGTGGGCACACTGGCTTGTCCAGATAGGAGCCAGCTTCTGCACCACCGTGGCCACAGGAGTGTGTAAGGTGGGGCTGGGCCCTAGTCCTGCTGGGTGTCTGTCCGATGGTCCTGGATGGCCAGGGTAGGGTCAGGCTGTACACTGCAGCCTTTCCAATGCACGAGCCATGGCAAACAGGAATCCCCAGCAGGGCGGAAGCCCTCCCGCAGGCATCTAGGCCGGGGCCACTCCAGAGCTTGCTTGCTCAAGTCCCTTGCTGGAGTGGGGTGGGCAAAGTCACATAAGCTGAAACTCTGCATCTTAGTTGGCCAAGGTGGAGGAGAGGCCAGCCACGACCTTGACCCTGGTGAGCTTTCTGTAATGAGCCAGAGTTGTGGCTCTTTTCCATAGGCCATGCAGCGTGGCAGCACCTAACTCTAGTCACTGGTCAGCTCCAGGGCAGCAAAAGCCTGGGCATCTGGGTAAGGCCAGGCCCAGACTGAGGAGAGCACAGCTGGGGACGTGGGTTCATGTCTTGAAGGTGGAAGCCAAACATGGGGGTGACACTGTTGGGAATTTAGACTGGGATAGGTGGGTAGCAAGGCCTATAAGGAAGATTGCATGCCAGCGCTCGGAGGGGTGGAAGGTCACAGTCACAGGTGGGGTGGCTTGAAGATCATGGTCAGCAGCTCTCAGGGATAGGACAGGACAAGAACCCATTCTTGCACAGAGGGGTCATGCAGGGGGCCCTCAGCAGGGGACTGTGTGGGGAGCAAGGCCTGGCTGGTGGTTTTCACATGCTGCCCGTTGTCAGTTTCCCTGGAGGTGGGTGGAATGGTGCCAGTCGTCCCCTCCCAGGGGCCTGGTGCCTGGGTCTGTTTGCTTCTAACTGTTCACAGCAGAAGCAGAAGCCCTCAGGCCCCGCAGTGACTTGGGAATCCTTAAGAGCATGCGTTGTTCTGAGAGTTTAGGTTTTAAACTGGCATCTCGGGTGGAAAGGCCTCCTGAAGGGGCCTGTAACCACCTATGCGAGGGGGCTGCATGTCCTCGGTGACTGACTGAATAGGAGCAGGTTGTCCTGGACGTTGCTGGGCACTCTCCTTGTGGAACTCGGTCATTCCTTTTTCAGGCTGAATAATTACAGAAAGTCTTGGCTCTACAAGGCGGGGACAGTGCTTGTGGCGGGACACCTGGTGGTGAATGCCGCCTATGCTGCCGTGTGCCTGCGTGTTTCCCACTTCAACTACCCTGGTGGCATCGCCATGCAGCGGCTGCATGAGCTGGTGCCCCCCTGGACAGGTGGGTGCCAGGGTGCTGTGGGCCCGCCTGTGGGCCCGCATGGTCCTCACCCAGTGTGGTCCCCCTAGATGTCCTCCTGCACATTGACACAGCTGCTGCCCAGACAGGTGTGTCGCGGTTCTTGCAAGTCAACAGTGCTTGGAGGTATGATTCTGGAAGCGCTCCTCTTTGAGGCCACCTCCAGGTCCCCATGGGGCACCCAGGGCTGTGGGGAGGGCTGTCAAGTGGCGCAGGTGGGGATGGGTGTACATGGGGACGGCCCGATCTTCTTCCCCAGATACGACAAGAGGGAGGACCTGCAGCCCGGGGCGGCAGACATGCTGGCCTACACGCACATCCTCCTGGAGGCAGCCCCCAGCCACCTGGCCCTCTACAGGGACACACACCGTGTCCTGGCCCGCATCCTGGGCACCAGTGGTGTCAGTCTGAACCTGACCAGACTGCCTCCCTTTGACGTCAACCTGCAGACCAGGCTGGTGCTTCTGGAGAGAGTTGTCCAGCCATCCAAAGGGGATAGGTGACAGCGTGCCCCCGACACTGCCCCCAGGGCAGGCAGGGCTGGGACCTGTCCACCACCATTCCTGGGGCACACAGCTTAACAGGACAAGGGCCTCAGAGCTGCTGCCACGGGCACTGGTAGCCCTGGGGACCCCTTCTCATCATCCAGGCACCCTCACAACCAAGAGGGGATAGCAGGCCAGGCAAGACCATCCCAGCAGCTGGCTGGTGGTGGCCCTCACTGTGCACTGCCCCCAGGTGCACGTGGCCAGGGCCTCAGCACCTGCCCTCCCGCCCCTGCAGCTTCTGTGCTCACAGGCCCTCATACGCATTCAGGTGATTTCAGGAGGTAAACACGTTGAAAAGAATGAGAATGAACGTCTCAGATGTTTTCTTAGGCAGTGTCTCTCATTTGCAGTTGCTTCTGGAGGCCACCCTGTCTAGCACTGCCTTGGGGGAGTCTGATGCAGTCATGCTGTACTGAGCACACTTCAGGGTGGGACACTGCCAGGCACAGGGTGACAGAGGACAGGTCACTGCCGTGAGCTCACGTGCACACTGCAGGCACTGCACGTGTACGTGCGGGTGCACGGGCATGAAGACGTGTTTCCTGAGTCTGCTGAGCGCGAGCTGTTCACAACAAGCCCATGGGGTTCTGGGCTCCCTCTACCCAACTCTGTTCCACAGTGAGAATCCTGGCTTCCAGCGGTATCCACACATTGACTGCTTTGCTCAATAAGAAGACATTAAATAGTTTGAGAATTGCCTTGTCACACAATTGCACAAAACAAACCCACCATAAAAAGGTGAGCTTTGTGAGGGTTCTTCACTCCCACCCACCACTACAAGGGGTAATGCGCTCCCTGGGTTGGCTGCTCCTGGCCTGCGTGGGGTCGTGTGGGGCCACTCTTCCCCTGCAGTCCGCGAGGCCCACCGCCCTTCGTCCTCGTGGCCGTGCAGACCATGACACGAAGCCCCAGAGCGCACTCCGGTGGAGGGCAGGCTCGGGCACCCTTTCTTACAGGAAGTTCCAGCGCGCACTCTGGAGGTGGGCAGGCCCCAGCCCCTTCTTACGGGAGCATCTGTGCGCATTTGCCCTTTGCTCTTTCCACGGGTGGAATCTCCTGGGAAGTGCTGCGTCGGGGCTGCAGAGCCGGCTCACTGCTTCCCAGGGCCACACGGACTCGGGGATGTAGACGTTCTGTGGCTACTCGGCCAACTGCTCTCCGAAGGGGCATTTAACTGATCTCCAATATTCAATAAAATACAGATTCGGTGACAGCGAGTAACCAGGAGCACTTTTATTTTCCTACCGTGCATCTCCAGGGTACACGCCTGGACGTGGGCACGTGGGTCGGACGGACAGGCCGGTCGTGCTGGCCTCGCCAGATCCCTCCGCAGGGTGCTTCTGTTTGCCCCTCGCAGGGCCAGTGCTTGGCCTCTGTCCTTGTTTCCCGCGCCAGTGGAGCGAATGCCCTTCCTGCGGGTTCAAGGGCTGGTTTGTGAGCCGTCTGTTCGTTTCTTTGATCCCTCTGTAGGCTTTTATTAAATGGACCAGACATCTGGGGGTGTCCACCCGCTCCGCATCCCCATGCATTCCCAGTGGACTTCATGTCGAGTCCTCCCTGGGGCCAGCCACCTGCTCCTGCCCGCACCCTCAGCTTGGCGGGGCCGCCTGCCCGGCTTAGGGACCTGAAGGATTCTCCAGCTGTTGCTTATTTCGGAACCTGCACGTTCCTTCCTGCACCCTGGGCGCCCGCGCATCCCCGCGCAGGTGAAGCGGGCCAGCGCGGCACCGGGCCTCAGCGACTCGCCCCTGAGCCGGCCAGGGTGGCCTCTGGGTGTTCACGTCCCGGGGCTCACGTCCTCGGTTGGGTTCCGAGAGTGGCGCACACTGCGAAGGTTTATCCACATTTCATTCCCATCACCCAGCCGGGCTGCAGCTTGTCCCCTTGCCTAGCCTGAGGTCGTTCACTTATGCCACGTCGCCCTCGCACTTGCAGTTGGTGCTTTGGTGATTGCACCCAGGGTGGCCCGCCACCCACAGGAGCCGTCTCTTCTAGAATATCGTGTTCGTGGAACTCCCTGAGCTTTGGCTTCTTTCATCCGAGTGTCCCGTTTCACCCTCTTCGTTTCTGTTGAAAAGGTGCACCTGCTATCCAAGGTGCTGCCCAAGTAGTCACTGGTGCTGGCAGAGATACCTGCGGGTGTTCTCTGGGGCTCAGTCCCTGGCAGTGGGATGGCTGAGCCAGAAGAGGACGCCTGCACCGGGGCACAGATTGCAGTGTGGCAACAACCGGGCACACATGTACTGTGCATCCACATTTAAGAAAAGTTTTGAGCTCCTACCCGCAGTGTTGGGAGAGCCCCACTTGTTATGCATTCATGCCCAAACTTGGTGGTGTCAGTTTTTAAAATTTGAGCCATTCGAACAGGTGTGTGGTTAGGACTTGTGATTTTAATTTGCATTTCTCTGATGACTAATGAAGGTAAATATTTCTTGTGTGTATTGGCCATTCTCGTCTTTTTTAAATGAAGTATCTTCAAATATTTTGTCTTTTTTTTTTTGGTCTTATTTAGTTGTGAGCGTTCTTTGTGTCTTCTGGATACAAGCCCTTTGTCAGATTTTTCTCTACAAAACATTGCCTGTTTTTTGGAAAAGTTTTATATCTTTATTCTTGTGTACCTGGTGCTTGGTGCCCTGAGAAAACACTGCCTAGCCCATGCCACGGAAGAGAAAAGGCAGATCACACACGACAGGTTCATTGGTACAGGGACACGGCTGGCATGCTGCTAAGGGGACCGGAAGTCTCCAGGGCAGGTTTTTTTTTTTTTTTTTAAAGACAGTGAGAGAGAGAGAATTTTAATATTTATTTTTTAGTTTTCGGTGGGCACAACATCTTTGTATGTGGTGCTGAGGATCGAACCCGGGCTGCACGCATGCCAGGCAAGTGCGCTACTGCTTGAGCCACATCCCCAGCCCCCCAGGGCAGTTTTTGCTGAGCAGTGCAGGTCAGTGGCCACCTGGCTGAGGTGGCTTGGCTGTCCACAGTGCGGCTGCATCCCTGCACCTTTCTCCACACCCTAGAGCATTTCTGTTGGGTATGTGAGGGTCCTAGGAATGGAATCCCTACAAAATACAGTGCATTTTTAACTTTACAAGGATTTCCAGCCTATTTTTTCTTTTTAGTTGTTCTTATGGGTACATTTAATTCTTTTTTCTTTTTCCCACTTTTTATTTAAAAAATTTTAATATAATCCAATTATCACAATATCCCCCAAACAAGATCAAATAACTAAAGATTTGCTTTGTGTTTCTACGAATATGTTCCCCTAGAGAGGCATAAGTTTGTGATTGCTCTGACAGTACTGCAGATGTCCGGCCCCTCAGGACCCTGAGGTAGACCTGAAGTACCTGGCCAAGATGCATCTTCTGGAAATGAGGCTGTGACCCAACAGGATTGTAACACTGTTTTATTTATTTACTGTGCTGAACGGGGATGGATCCCAGGACTTCCCATGTACTAGGCAAGTGCTCTACCATGGAGCCACATCCCCAGCCCGTTTTATTTTAGTGTGAGACAGAGTCTCACAAAGTTGCTGAGGCTGGTCTCCTTGCAAACCTTGCTGGGATCACGGGCGAAGCCACAGTCCCTGGTAACAGTCTTTGTTTGTTTGAAGTGCTGGGGAGGAAACCAGGGTTTCTGTGGGAGGCTGGCCCGCTGTGGCTGAGCTGCCCCCAGCCTCGGTGCCTCGGGTGCAGTAGGAGCAAGGGAACGGCGTGTGCACACTTGGTCTCCCGCTGTCCTGAAGCAGGACCTCTGTGAAGCTCCACTGGCTGCTCCGTCTTCACGACCTCTCAGATCATAATGGTCCCTGCACACCCTGTGTTGTGAAGGCGGTGACCTCTGGTAACAGCTTTCTAACAGCCGCCCGGCCTGCCCGGTCCCCACTCCAGCAATCTCCTGCTCTGCTGTGTTCTGAACACGAGCCCTTCAGCAGAGGGGAGTTGCCAAGGGCTGTCTCTGCGCTCCCTTGGAGCTGCCTTTTGGAGAGAAGTGCTTCATTTTGTTGAAGACCAGTTGACTCATTTCTTTGCTCATGGACCATACATTTAGTGTTAGATTAACAAAATCTGCCCAACACAACTTCCTGAATAAGTTTGATGGATCACATTTTATATTAAAACAGTGATCTGAGTTGATTTCTATATGGTGGGCAATATAGATCAAATTTCTCCCACATATGAATATCCAATCGTTCTAGCACCAGTTTTTGAAGACGATCCTTTCTCCCTGATTTGCTTTTGTTCTTTCTCAAAAATCAATTGATCTAGGAGCTGGAGATGCAGCCTGACAGGTGCAAGGTCCTGGCCCCTCCCCAGACAGCAGAAAAGCATTTAAAAACCAATCAACTCAAGAAGAAAAACACAGACTGGGAGAAAATATCTTGAGATGAGACATATCTGAAGAAGGACTGTTGTCCAGGACACTCAGAACACACTCTTGAAACTCAACACGCAGGAAGCAAACAAGACGTGGTTTTAAAGTGGGCACAATATCTGCCCTCTTCACCAAGAGACACAAATGGCAAAAAGGTCCACTGCCCAGGAGTCTCGATGGACGACAGCCATGGACGCTCTGCACACCCGATCCTGTGGCCCAACCCAAGGTGGGCAGCTGTGCGCTGTGGAGGGTGTGAACCAGGGGCAGCCACTCTGCCAGAGGGAGCTGGGAGTCCCCTACCAGGCACCCTCCCTGGGGCTTGGTTCTCTGCCCAGGGGAAGCGAAGTCTCAGGGCAACAGAGTTCTGACACTCGTGGGCACCCAGACCGTGGGACTGGCACTGCAAAGAGGCAAGCCGAGGCCAGGGAAAGACACAAGGGAAGGGGACGCGCCCCTGAGGCCAGAGACTCCCGGAAGCCTATGTGCTGTGGGTGTCAACTCCAGACAGACGGGAAGGGGTCAGAATGTCATCAGTAGGTAAAGTCAGCACATAAAATCAGCGGTTGGCAGGTCCAGGCAAAATGGCAGTGCCCAGTGGGACTGCGCCTTTTGCAGGACGGGTTTGTGTCCCTGTGTAGGTGCTGGGCAACCGTGCTGTGCCCTGCAGACCCGCCCATGGGGCCACTGGGCAGCTGCGGTGCAGGGGCGGGTGCTGGTGGTGGCCGCAGCTGCCTGTATGGGTCCAGGGAGCTCTGCTTTCTGCTTAACTTCTGGGAGACAGAACTGTGTAAAAAAGTCTGATGAAAAGTAAACTCAGATGGTTTTGACGGGGACTGCGGGAGCCTGGCGAGTGTTCTGCATCATCTTTGTGTGAGTCCCTGGTGATGGGGGGGTCTTCTCGCCCACCTCACACCTCAGAGTAGGTTTTCAAGAACCAGCCCACAGTCCCACAGGGTGGCCCTGACCTAGATCCCGCCCGGGGACCGGTCACCCTGAGGCTGGCTGCTCTGCCCTCCCCCTGGGCGGGCCCCTACACCCTCTCTCCTTCCCTGCATTCTTTGGGTCTGCTGGGCTAGCACTGATGCGTTGACTTCAGAAGGACTGGCATCTCACCCACATCGAGTGACGCAGGACGTTTGTGGCTTCTACTGCACACAGGTTATACAACCTGGACTTGCTGGGAACACCTCGCACTCCCAACACTGTGGCAATTGGTGTTTTGTTTCTTTTGTTTTGATTTTGGTACTGGGGATTTATCTCAGGGGCACTTGACCACTGAGCCCCATCCCAGCCCTATTTTGTATTTTAGAGACAGGGTCTCACTGAGTTGCTTAGCGCCTTGCCATTGCTGAGGCTGGCTTTGAACTCTCGATCCTCCTGCGTCAGCCTCTTGACACTTGCCAGTTGGACACGTTTTGCTGGTGTGCAGAAGCACAAGCGTCTGCTAAGCTCCCTTGGTGCCAGTGGCTGCCAAAGGATCCTCTGCACAGTGTCCTGCCCTGGGTCCCGTCCTTCCTGCCTGCCACCTCTCAGTCAGAGGCTTTGGGCCTCCTGCAGGTGGACTCACCTGCACTCCTCCAGTTGAGGGGGCTCATGCTGCCCGCGCCAGGACCCCCTTGCTCTCAGGCTGGACAGGACTCCACACACAGGCCATGCCTTATCCACCACGCATGGACACACAGGTGCTTTCCATCTTTCACTATTGTGAACAACCCTGTGGTGGGCACGGGGGGAATGGACAGCTCTCTGAGACCCTGCTTTCGATTATTTTGATGACATGCTCCCAGGCATGGCTGGGCCACCTGGGCCTCTGGGGCCCGACAATGTGCAAGGCCTCAGCCTTG